AAACACTCTCAACATTTTAAAAATTGTAGAAGCGCTCGCAAAAGTTTAAATTACAGAAAAACACTCTCAAAACTTGCGAACAACATAGATGAATTCTAGGGATTCATCAGGCTTGAATATAGGTCCCCCTTTCCCCATGGTAAAACGTTCTTTGTCGTATCAATTAAGCCTCAGGGATGATAGAGAAAGATAATACCATCTAAACACTAAGAAGTTTAAACAATAATAAAAAGGTAAATAAATAATAAGTAGCTAACATACTATAATACATGAATTGTTATAAAAAAACTAAAAAAATTTAAAAATTACACAAAACACCATCAATAGTTCAAAATTACACAAAACATCCAGACTTTTCAAAATATAAAACAACAAACATAAAATCTAAAAATTAGAAGTAGTCCCCAAAAAATTTAAAATTTTTAATTAACACCCTCAAAGTTTTAAAAATTATAGAAACACCCATAAAAGTTTAAAATTAACAAAAAAACACCATGAAATTTAAAAAATATATTTATAGATTAAAAGTTAATATCATTGCCTAAATAAAAGTAACTACATATAAATTTACTCGTAAGTTGGAGTATAAAAAAAGAAGTAGCATTAATTGATAGAAGATTAAATCACTGAAAATGATAAAAGACTATAATATAATAGCTTAGCATTAATTGATTATATTTTATAAACATTATTCTCTGATGTTAATAATATTCACAGGGTAAAAAAGATATTCTCTGATGTTAATAATACTCACATGGTAAAAAATACAATGAGTTATGTATAGAGAAATTATTAAAAAGTTCAGATATATCCTTCAAAAGGATCTAGCTATTTTCATTTTAGAAAAAGTGACTAATAAGTTGGAGCATAAAAAAATAGCATTAATTGATAGAAGACTAAATCACTTTAAAATGATAAAAGAGTATAATATAATAGCTTAGCATTAATTGATTATATTTTATAAAAATATTCTCTGATGTTAATAATATTCACAGGGTAAAAAAAATACAATGAGTTATGTATGGAGAAACTATTAAAAAGTTCAGAGATATCCTTCAAAAAGGTCTAGTTGTTTTCATTTCAAATGGAAAAATAAAGGAAATAAGCCCAAAATTCAAGAACTACATGAATCACTTGAATAGATACTAATAAGAGACATATTTATCGAAGAAACACCAACTAATTTCCCATCAGAGAACATATTAAACAACTTTGTTCCAATTGAAGAAGTATTTATCAAAGAACTTACATGAATCACTTAGAATCGATACTAATAAGGGACATATTTATCAAAGAAGCACCAACTAATTTCCCATCGGAGAACATATTAAACAACTTTGTTCCAATCAAAGAAGCATTTTTCATAAAAGATACAAGAATTATTAGCAAGTACTTATAATTTTAGATGTTATTCTTCAAATACTAAAAGAACCATAAACTTATTATAAAATTACATACAAATGATCTTACAATAGCAACTAATGTGAAGCTATTGATCAACTATATTATGAAATATAACAAACCAGACAAGAGGAGGGGAATCACTATAATTAACAAAATGTATACATATGATACTTACTTAACAACCTAGACAAAATGTGGAAAATCACTATAATAGATAAAATGTATACACATGATACTTACTTATCATAGCTTAAGAAAAAAAATTAAAATCGATATTTTTTCTTTTTACTATATAGTGGCATGGCTCTATGTGTACTTTATTTGGGAACATGGCTACGAAAAAAGGATTAATTCTTTACGAAACGATCGGATATAAGCCCATAATAGCATTATCGGATTTCATGATCTCTAAATATGAAGGTAATATATTTCATTACAAAAATCATTCAGAACAAGCTCTCAAGACAAAAATATCTCCATCAAGGCTGTTTAGAAATGCAATAGAAATTTAACTTAGCGATATAATGTAGATATCACGATATTTGAAAGAGGTATAATCTTAAAAAAAACTACTCTATAATTCAACCTAATTACAATTTACCAATATACAGATATGGTATTGCACCTTTAAGGCAAAGAAATTTACCATATATAATAGGCTTGAGCTGGGGCTTTACGCTTGCAAAGGTTGCAACAAGAAGATGAATATAAATGTTAATAATGAGTGTCCAAATGATAAATATCATGAAATCTCTGATGACTTAGGACCAAGATTAAGTAATATCCTTTCTTTATGGAATAAACATAACAACATCAAATTCTAACACATACCTAAGGCAAATAAACAATGAAAAAAATACAGATATTTTAGTTAAGATCCTCATGAAAAATAATACGGATAGTGTAAAGGTAACACATTTGACGCAGTAGAAACTCTTATTGTATGCACAATACAAGAATTTATTGTAAAGAAAAAAGAGGTCAATCATAACTTAACTTAAGTCATAAATTAAAAATACATTAAAAATACAGAAAAATTATCATACATGTGTAATTAACATTTGTTCTTATTGAAATAGAAAAATAATCAAATTTTGTATTTTTATAAGTTTGCATTGAACAACAGAAAGACAATCAAATTAATTGTGAAGTTATATGAGAAGATAAAAAATGAATGAGCTCACACAAAGATAATAGCACGAGAAATACAAGTCCAGCCTGATGTTACAATCGATATAGATGATGAAGACGCTATTTCATAATTACCCTAGAAAAATATAAAAGTGAAGAATGATTGATCTCAGCTCAATTAAAAATAAAACTGAAAGAATAAAAGACAATATTTTTTGAATATTTTATAGAATAGCTTAAATTTTTAAGTAAAATTAAGAATATTTGGAAGATATTTTCATGAATTTTTAAATATTTCTATGTACTTATTATGTGGATGTTTTTATCATATAAAATTATATTAGAGTTAGCATTAATATTTAGTACATGGTTTTTAATGAAGTCTTTTAATAATTAGAAATAAAATCCATATTCTCTTTTGTACCATTTTAGCCACTTCTAATCAATCGTCTAGGTTTATTAGCTTTAATTATTCCTCTTGTTTTAATAATTCTATTTGTTTCAAGTGTTTTTCACTTTTGCAACACTATACCTCCTTAGTAAAACTTCATTTCACGTCGATACAAATATCATGAATATTCAAATTGGCTTCACATTGGTGTCGTGTCAATTCAATTATCTACATGAAACTTTAAATTATGTATAACCCATTCAAACAAACATTAAAAAATAAATAATCATAATATTAAAGTTCAAAGACATAAGTGAGCAAAAACTATCAAATTAAAATCGAGGAACAAATTTTAATAAGAAAATAAACTAAAAATAAACAATTATGATATTTAACCATGTGCATTGCACATGCATAAAAACTAGTTATTTCAAATGTCCCAGTTGCGAGATGACCAAAAACAAAATACTATCAGTCGCCTCTTTCGACACTTGTTCAAGTTATATAATTGCTAAATAAAAATAAAAATAAAATAGTTTCTAGTACAAAAGAGCTAAAAAAAGAAAAATATTTTTTTGGGGGGTGGGGGGCCTAA